CACACACACACACACACACACACACACACACACACACACACACACACGTTATTATTATGGTGCACGGCTGCTTCACCTCCATGTCCAGCATCACTCGAACTCACTTTGCTCTGGTGATGTCTGCGTCCGATACATTCCCCTCAGCCACATCTCTCACTTGAGCGATGGCAGCATTGATCACCTGCACACAGGACGGCAACAAGCAATTTTAGACGCAGTTTCATTCGTTTGATATTTCTTTAAAAAAGGAGTGAATTCAGAAATCACCTCTCCTGCAGAGCCAGCTTGTGCAATGGTGTAGACGCCGAACAAGCCGGAGTCAGAGTAAGAGGCGTTGAAGGCTGTGGCCTGAAAGACATCAGACATTAGGAGACAAACTCCAACACACCATCCTACGACAAACAAACAACACCGTACAGCTTGTAACTTACATCAAACGGCTGTGTGGTAGCTTTGGCGATACCCTGGCTCAGTTTGCTGGTGATGTTGGAGCCCCTCTTTACATGTGGCCCAGCTCCCAGGATCCTTTGCAGCACGCTGAAGGCATTAGCCTCTGCGCTGCCCGCCACACCACCCTCACTGGTGATCAGGGCGTGCACCAGGTCGTCATTGTTCTGCACCCGCAGCTCACCTACACGCAAACACAGACGCACAATAGCATCACGACAATAGATCTCAAAAAGGGGTGCAATGTCACGATTGAAGTTAAGAGTTTTACCTCCGCGGTACACGGCCTTAGCAGCAGGCGCTCCAGCCCCACTGCGGACACTCAGGAGCCCCTCGCCCATCTGCCTCAAGACGGAGTGCTTCACACCTGGACGCACGGATCAGACGAAACATTAACATGCACCTGAACTGAAACACGGCACTAATTCCCAGGATAGGAACATCCAGAATAGCAACATGTGCCGTCACTCAGGCATGCCGACACTTGAAGCGTTTGCTTGCGGGCTGAGTCGGCCTTAAGACATGTTAAAAAATCCACATTAGAGTCACCGCTTGCCTTTTGTGTTGACCTACTACCTCTCTGTCTTTGGACAGAGGCCTGATGACATTTCACATCAACGGGACTACTATGACTTCAGAATGCAGACTAAACGTTCGTAACCAAAACCTGACGAGTTTGTAAAGCAGCAGTGACAAAAACGATGCAGTCCGACTAGACAGCACTAGCGGATACTCACCTAGTCCTACAAGAGCCATTCTGCCGGTGGCGAAATTGTCCTCAACAAATGTCTGCAGCTACAAAAAGGACGATAAAGAAGGAGGAGAGGTGTGTATGAGCTGCGTACGCACTAACAAAGAATGAAAAGGCTACGTTAGGACGTCCCGCTAACTAAAGATTCATACCTGTGTAGAGGAGACACGGCCGACCATGTAGTCTGGGCAGTACAGAGAGTTGCACAGGGCATTCTTGTACGCTGCTTCGTGCAACTTCTCAATTACACCTGCGAAAGAAAACAGAAAACGCCCAAAATTACATAAAGCGTGCACCCTCCATTTCTCTTCACCTCTCCATGATACGGGTTAAATTAACTAATCACACCTCCAAAACATATACTCAAAGTTAATAACAAGAACAATTAAGACAGTTTGAAGTCTGACATTTTTTTACTGGGTCTTTAAGCATTATTATTATTGTTAACATGAACATCAACAGCCCGCTATGCGTCTACTTGTAGCTTTCAGCTCACCATTTTTGTTCCCTCAGGATTTAAGAAGCCAGTAAATAATGGACATGCGTTTGTCAGATAGGCCCAATATTGCTCCAATTCAGCTGGACAAAGGTGTGCTGACACACTAGCAAGAAAAACCCAATACAGCAATTTTAAGATACCATTTGGTTGATCGAGGCCAACGTTTTGCTAAAGTTTATTCCGTTACCGACCTATCTGAGGACACTGCTGAGCCAGAGCTTTGTCGATCTTCACCCTGGACGTCAGATCGTCCACCTCCCACGGCCGGAAGTCCTGAGCTGCGGTCACGTTGACCAAAAACTCAAATAATGAATCTCTGCGCACACACACACACACAAACAGACAAAGCAACGTTAAAACAAACACAAACAAACACACACACACACACACACACACACACACACACACACACACACACACACAGGAGTGAAACAACATCACAGACTTGACATAAGGACTCACAGGTGATCTCTCAAGCAGTCCGCAGTGTAGACGGTGGTCTCCCTTGATGACGTCACACTGGGGGTACACAGACGACCACACAGTTGGTTCAACGTAGTGGGCTACGGTTACACTGGTGTGTATTTATAGCGGGAAATGCACGTGTGTCACTGACCTCAGGCTGCCCCCCAGCGCTTCTACACCGCGACAGATCTTGAAGGCAGATGCACCTTTAGTGGTCTACAAAACAAACAAAAAGTTGTTAAGCCAAACAAAATGAGAGTCAACTGTCCCCCCAAACAGTGAGCAGAGAAGAGAAGACCCGTTCATAAATTACCAGGTTTGCCGCCAGTCGCAGCACATGAGAGACACCCTGGTTTTCCACAGTCTCGTACCGACTCCCGGCTTTCACAAACACGCCGACGCTGGACAGCGGGGAATTGTTCTCCAGTGATGCGATCACCAGACCGTTTGGAAGCTTGGACACCTGAAGAAGCCAAAAGAAAATGTTACAGAAAGCTTGTGATCAAACTCTAAAGATAAATAGGCAAGTTCAGTTTGATTGCAACCGCTGCATAGTCGAGGAGCGGCACCCACCTGGACATTTTGGGGAGGGGGAGGTGCAGGCAAGGCTGACGTGCGGCCTGCGAGGGGTTCGTTCAGAGCTTCGCTCCTCCTGGCAGCGGCATAGCAACGTTTCTGTGGGGAAGAGGAGACACCAAATTTAAAGACAAGCGACTTCCACTGTTCCTCGACTCAACCCGACAGTGTTTCCAGGGAGAAAGTGGAGCAGCTTTAAGCAGCGCACACATTTGTGTCCAGTTAACCAGCAGACTGGAAGAGAATGTACCATCTGGCAAGTGCTTCACTAAAGCAGGCTGACATTAGAGTAACATGACGTATAATGTTTCATAATAGCAGCTGTCACCTACCTAACTCTGCTTTAAGTACACAAGTGAGAGATCCCTCTACCAGTGGTTCGCTGAGGGGTCACCAGATGACCAACAGGAAACACTTGTTTGTTTGGCCAATAAAATCTTTTTTACATTATGTTCTTTTTATTCATAAATCACTTGATAAATGTACCACTTGTGGCCTCTAAAGGTTATACAGATAAGATAAGGACAACTTTCCGATTGACCTGGTGTCAACCCACACAAGATGCAACTACACAAGAGGTCTTAAGAAGACATTGTGACATACAGGGACAACAAACAACTATCTATTGTCTGGATTGTCAATGTATTGACTATGTTTACATTATTGAGTAATAATCAGTTTGTCAGTAAAGTGTGAAAAAAATGTCCACTTATGACATAAAAAGAAAAGCATCAATGAAACAGATTATGTTTGATAGTTTTACTTGTAAATCAGATTCAGTTTTAAATAAATAATGATCGTTGATGGCTCAACAGACAACAGTAACACCTGCACGCGGCTCTAGACACTGACAGCCTGTCGTAAAGAAGGGTTGGGTGTCCCAAAATGACCCGTATAACTTTAGAAACGTTACACTAAGGCCGCATGTACACGTGTCCCGTGAACAAAGTTTAAATATCTGGACGTCACTACACTATGACCAAACTAAGGGTGTAATTAATTCACCTCGAGACACCTCGATTAAAATACGTGATACGTGAGTTCAGAGATGACCTTCAGGTTGCATCCAGCTGAACCACACAGAGAGACGAAGCTAACGCGAGACAATAGACTATGTTACAGCACACGTGCCTCGCAGTATATCTGACATTCAGTGTCGTTAGTGAATGATTCGGGGACGTGTTACTAAACGTTAGACAATTAGCTAGCCACCTAGCGAGCTAACTAGCCAGCAGGCTAACTGTGGAGCTAAACGCGCTACACAAGCAGACCGAGAGTCCACAGAGTTTAGCTCCAGTAGGTCACACAGCTCAGACAAAACACGAGACTCACGGGGAGGTTGTTAAGAGACCGGATTCCTCTCATGACTCCAGAGTCTCTCCTTCAACGGTACAGAATGACAAGATATGGCGGCGGACTGACGTTTTACCCACAATCCACTGCAGCTTGCAGCCGATCAAAGATGACAGGATGTCAAGATGAACCGTTACCGCAGCTTCAAACTTGGTCGTGTCTAGTCCGGAACCAGACGCAGTTGTATCCGGACCCAGGACTTGATTTGGAATTTGGAATTATATACGATAGTGAGTTTATACTTTAACCGGCGCATCTTATTCAGCAGTTATGGCACTTGTTCAGCGGTGCAGGAAACACACCGACCAATGCGTTGTAAATCACATCAGGTAATGCAGCTCAGCCAATCAAATACGGGTATTCTGACAAGTTTCCTGACGGGTCCTGGGGTACATCCCGAAGGGTCTTGGGGTACATCCCAAGTCTCTTGTCATTTCCTCGATCCTCGCTCGAACAAATAACCGGAATTTGTTCTGCACCGCCATATTGACGGCCGTCCCAAAGCTCTTATTTCTGCTCTGAGGAGCGAGGAGGGATCTCTGAGGAGCCATGAGCGAGGACCCACCAGAACAGACTTCCAGGAAGCGTTTTAACGGCCGACACGCCCCCTCATTGTTCAGTCATGTGATTGGACGCTGCGATCAGATTGATGAGATTTTTTTCAACATGTATGGTAGCAATTACATTTAATTAATATTTCTAACGACGTAACCGACCCCGATTTTCATCATTCAATTAGAGGCATTTTCGTTTGGGCTCTGACTCTACCATGTCACTAGTTTTGCATATCAGATAGTCAATTAACAATTAAAAAAAATCAGGGCTCTTGTATTACACCATACATGTATTTGTATTTCTTAGGTTATGAGTTTGTTTTTTAGGCTATTTGTGAAATCGGAAAAAAAAGAAAGAAAAAAAACACCAGCACTCAGTTAAGAATTAATGTTTTTATTTATTAGAATCCACTCCATTTAAAGTCACTAAAGTTTATGACCCACATTACGTTACAAAAATATACTCAACATATTACAGGTGTAAGACAATCATTCGGAACGTACAAAGTTTCATTACAAAAACACTGCTCACGTTTAGACCTTTGAAAATATTCACAAGTAGATTCTTCGGCTCACAAAGCATCTTTTGACAGTGCAAAAATGTTCACCATTTTTTAAGGTCTTCTTCACAGTTCGTTGGCTGAGAAAACCTTCAAAGATGCGAGGTGCTCGGACATTAAAACAGCACCATAAACATCCATCAGAGAGAGTTTAGACTGCTCACTGAGTTGTCAATCAGCTCCTTGAGATTCCTGATGCGATGTTGGTCACCACGCCAAAAAGCCGGGACCCTAAGAGGCGCATTCCACAAGCAGTCAGATTAAAAACAGACTACCGTTTGGCACCAGTAAGCACTCAAACAGCGCTGAGCCAGGCATCATCTCAGTTGGCTGTTCTCCACAGCTCTGAGCTTTGTAGTGCACCGTCCCCGACTGAGGGCACAGAGAATGACCGTGAAAGAGTTCTTTAAGAAAAAAACGTCGCTCAGTTGTCGTTTGGCGTCCCGGGATAGCTGCTCATGTGGATGTCCTTCCTCAGCTGGAGAGACACGCAGCTGAGCCAGCTGCGACTGGTGGGCATCTCCCCGACGATCTCCCACGTGTCCGTCTCGTCGCAGTACCTCTCGATAGTGTCGTGATATCTGCACGTAAAAAGGTGATCAGCATTAGAAGAAGAAAGGCTGCAAATGTGTCCCGTCATCGTGTTTTTAATCCACAGGAACTAAATCAGGACCCGAAAGCACCATGAGGATTAGATAAATTAGTTGGATTTCAAACACGATTCTTTGAATTTATTGTTGCATGACTTTGATGTTTGAATGGATGCAAAAGAGGACACAAAAGGGAAACCGGTAGGTCCCTAAAATGGTTCTTGGGCTCCTGCACAAGCTCCTGCCCCAGATTGGGCCCCTCACCTGTCCCAGCCTTCTTCTCCTCCCAGGACGTAGATTTTGCCATCTACCACGGCAGCACCGGGCCGGTAGCGTCGCTCTGTCATTGGGGCGCACATGGTCCACTGATTGGTCTTCGGGCTGTAACACTCCACCTTATCGGTGTTCTCTGTCGAGGCATGCCATCCACCTGGGAGAGCAAAGGAGATGTTGAACTTGATTTCATGAGAGTGGTTGTTGTGCACTATAAAGTGTGTTTACAGACCTATCACATAAATCTTTCCTTTGAGTGTGCAAGCAGCTGAACCAGAGCGAGCGATCTGCATGGGGGCGACCTCCGTCCATGCAGTGGTCTTGGGGTTGTATACCTGAGCGAGGTCTGTGCCGTCGCCGTCCTCTAGAACTGCACCACCTAGCGGGACAGAGTAACAGCCGGACTAATCAAAAATCTGTAAATCCAATGAAAAACACAACCTAGTGCATAGCCCGTGTTTCCTACCAGTGACATAGAGCAGTCCGTCCAGGGCCACCACGGCAGGACTCGTGACGGCCATCTTGACAGACTCCGTGAACTGCCAGGAGTTGTTGTGAGGGTTGTAGCACTCCACCGAGTCCAGACGAGAGCGTCCCTCCCACCCCCCCACTGCATACACGAAGCCGTCCAGCATCACCAGGCCTGAGCGTGAGGAAGATTAATCCAGTCACTGATGATAACAACTTTCTACATAAACAGATAAAACATAACAATAGAATGCTCCAGTTAAGAGCGACACTCGTAGGTTTTCATATCAGGTACTTGAGGACAGAAGAAGTGTTTGTCGTACGGAGACTGCCTTACCCAACTCGGAACGAGCGACGTTCATGGGAGCCGACTCCATCCAGGAGTCGAAGCGGGGGTCGTAGCGCCACATCTCTCTGCTGGCCGAGCCGTCGGGAAACTCTCCTCCCGCCAAATACAGCGTGGAGTCTCCAGAGACGGATGGAAAGAAACATGTCACTGTCTGAGCGTAGCTGGTGCTCCGTCATGAATGAGTGTTAATGTAATCAACGCTCACGTTTCCTCACCTGACACGACCAGCCCGTGTTTGCTCACAGCGAAGGGCAGGCAGGCCAGATTCTTCCACTGGTGCGTCACAGGATCGAAGCTCTCGACGCTGCGCAGCACCACCTTGTCGTCCTCTCCGCCAACCGTCACTATCACTTCAGCTGTCCCTGTTATGGCAACAGGAGCAGAGAGGAGTGAGCCGAGGCCTTTGGACCACAGACTGTGGCTCTGGACCAGTAACGTAGTAGTGTGTGTGTAGGGCTGCAACTTGTGATTATTTTCATCATCTTGTATTTTTTGTAGATTGTCTCACAGTCACTTAGACCTCCTTTACACCGTACAATAAAATCCTCAATGCGTTTTTGGTGCATTTACACCTGTACTTCCATGTGGTCACTCACTACCTGATTGTAATTCCATCACCCTAAAACACATTATAATGCACGGTGTAAAGGGGGTCTAAAATACAAAACTATAAAGTGCTAATTTTCCAAGTGTAGCCAAAGTGAACACAGTAGATTGACAGATGGACAAAGATGCAGCCTCTACCCTTAATGGAAACGCATGCGATGTTGAGCACCTGTGAACCTGCGCAGCCTCGCTCTGGGGCAGTAGAGCTCTCCACGGCGGTCCTTCAGCAGCATGTAGTCCTTCGCCTCAGAGATGAGCTTCTGGCAGCCCTGGTTCTCCTTCACCACATCCAGAGACTCGATCACGTCGTGGAGGTAGTACGGGCTGATGAGAGGCAGCCGGATGTGTTCGAGGACCTTTGAGGAACAACAGAGATCTGATGAACCGCCACGGTGACAACTATGATTTCTTGTTAGAAAGTCACAGATGGGACAAGATTTCAGGAAATTACTGGTCATGTAAATAACCCCCATGACAAAGCACAACCGATCGCTTTTCACTTTGTCGTATGGATTAAACAAATGCAATTTCATGTGTTAATGAATGAGTTTTAGGAGGTGCTGGTAGGTGGATTTACCTTTGGACAGAGCCAGGCTAGCTGTTCTTTTGTGCTAAGCTAATCAGCTGCTGGCTGCCCCCATCTTCCCCTCGGCAGGAACACAAATAATGTCCCAAAATGTTGAGTCATTTTTTTTAAATATTGAGCACCAAATAAATACACGGCTCCTGCTCAATACTCTGCTGCAATAGATGCTTGTGCATCAAATTGAGAGAAGAGAACCGTGCGCATTATAAAATGGATGCAAGCAGACATACCTGAGCTTGTTCTGAACTGACCTTCTCAAAGCTCTGTCTGCGGGAGGAACATTTATTCAACCACGACATGGCGGCCTCAAACACCATCTCCTCTTTAGGCACATTTAGGAAATCACTGGCAATGATTTCTGTCAGTTTGTCCACACACAGAGACAGGAACTCCTCCTGGTGGACAAAAAAAAGAGACATGGAAAAAGTATAAACTGTAATCAACTGTCCAGAAAATGCACCATTAACAAAATAACATACAGCCCATGACAAAACATATCATAACATGCGTCCTCCATCAGCTTCTCACCTGCTGAGAAACACTGCTGAAGTGCTCGTGGATGTAGTCCATGCTGAGTTTCTCCAGCACCTTACAGGAATGGGCCTCGGCAAAGCAGTGAATGCCCACACAGTTCATCTCGTCCATCTGACGCTTCATGAAATGGCAGCAGGCTTCTCGCACGTCCATCACGTCCAGCAGATTAGCTGCTGCCAGCAGCGCCTGGGACCAAATGAATCAAAGTTTCAGAAAACGCACTCTCCAGAAAGAGAGGATACGAGGATAAGAGCAGAAGCTTTACCTGCACATTTGCTTTAGAAATGTAGACCTCTGATGTGTAGGCGTAGCTCACCAGCATGCCAATCATCTGAGGCTCAACTCCATTGATGGCAACGCGCTCCTGTTTGGACTCTATCAGGTCAGTGGAAAACATGGCCTGAAGGAGAAGGAAAACAACCACAACTTATACCACATTCATTTAACACCTGCACTCCTGAAGCTGCGTTGTTTACCTGGAAGTAAGAGCTGAAGGAGGCCAGCACAATGCGATGGCAGGGGAACTCCTGTCCTCCACAGCACAGGGTCACATCACAGAAGGCGTTGTTGAGCCGCAGGCTGTTTAGGCCCTGCAGCACGGTGTTGGGGTGCCTGGCCTCCACGAACAGGTAGTCCTCGCCGGTCAGAGAGGCCGGAGGGGCGGCAGCAGCAGCGGTGGAAGTGGCGGTGGGGTCCTCCTGGAAGAGGAAGTTCATAGTGGACGACGAGGGCAAACCGGCGTGGACGGCGATTATTTCAGCCATGCCTCACTTTGATAAAGAGCCTGGGAGGTAAAGCGGAGGGATACGAGACATGACAGTTAAACCAGTTTGGCCATAGAAGCGACAAGGCGGAGAGACCATCTGAGACCGTTTATTAGCTCATTAATGAAGCTTAACGAGCCGTTAGCTCTCGAGTCAAAGTAAACCGTCGTTTCGGGAAAACACCAATCGGGTACAGACGGGTGAGAGTAAACGTTCATCGGCTGTAAACATACCTGTTGGACACACTCGTGACCGCAGTGCGAGCACCTCTCTCTCTCGCTCGCTTTCTCCACACACACACACACACACAGTTGAGTCAGACGGTAACAAACTACAATTTAAAGCCTCTCGTCGGAAGTCCCGCCCACAGGTCAAGAGCCGTTACCTCGGAGTACTTCCGGCTTCGCTTCAGCTCCTGCGCGTTTATTTAATTGAGTACTGATTTCTTTCGCTGTTGTAATTAAAGTTATTCAACGTCAAGGTATGATTATAAAACAATTGTATACAACTTAAAGAAACACTTGACATTATGTTTTATATATGTTGTTTATATGTTTTGTATTTTCTCATGTTATACTTATACACACATGGCAGTGGCTATGCATACACTTTTCCAATAGGTTATGCCTTATTTTGTTTAAACAGCATCTTTAATGCTTGTTTAAATGAGCATCTCGTTTTGAACTGTAGAAGAATAAGATCCAAATCTGGTCATCACAATTCTTTATGCTGTGAATGTGCGTTCAAATTGATGACTTTTCTTTCTTTGCTTGTGTCTTCCTCACTTGAAGACCAACATTTTGTCCCCAAATGGAAGGTGAGTCCTCACAATGTGACTGTGTGACCAGACCTATGTCCCTGCAACATAGTGAAAACTAGGGGACACATACACATCTTATTAACTTGGAGACGGTATTTTTTTATGTTTCATTTATTTGACATTATGTTGTCAACTGCAAAAATTAGTAAAAATCAGCCACTGACTTTGTTATCTCATTTATGGATCAAAACATCTCTTGTTTTTATCTATACGATGATGTTGTGGATTTCAGATCAAGTCGCTGGAGGTCATGCCGTTTGTAAATTGGTTGTAACATGGATAATTTTCTATTAACAGATTATCGAAAAAATGTTATGGATTAGAAATTTGAAACTTTACGCTGTAGAAATTGTTGTTTAGAGAAACAGTTTGCTGAATCATCTTTGTTTTATTCAGAAAAATCAAACTATTGGCTCTATTTACAAAAAGTACAGACTCATTTTAAGCTTCAAACAGGATTATTAATCCCTGGTAATGTTTTTTTAGATCACAGGCCGCTGTCCTTCATGATGCCAGGAGTCTCCAATGTGTTCTTTCTGCGAGCAACAGCTTCCAGGATCTTCTTCCTGGGTCCCAGCTGGATGCGGATGCCTTTCAGGTCTTCATCAGAGCAAAGCATCAGCGCCTCCAGGTCTAGGTGTTCTCTGCTGAATGCAAGGGCAAACTCTGGCAAGGAGATGGCGGACAAGAATGCATCCAACGGTGAGGTTTCCTCATCTTCATCATCATCCAGTCCCAGATCTTCCTGATCCCAGGGCAGATCAGCATCGCCATTCCCCTCAAAGCCTGCTCCGCCTTCCTCGACCTCAAACAACTCGTTCTGAACGAGGTAGCCGAGACTTTCGTTGTTGCCGCTCGGGATGTCTTCTGACTCCAGCCCCATTTTCTTCATGAAAATCAGACCTCCAAGACCGGGCCGATTGAAGATGGACTGTTTGACTTGGCCTGGCTCGTCATTGTTATAATCTTCGAAGCCTCCCATTCCGTCTTCATCTGACATGCCCTCGTCCTGCTCATTGAAGACATCCAGAAACTCTGGCTGCTCGGACGCTCCGCTCTCCTGTTTGAGGAAAATAACGTTCCCGTCCCCTCCCGACCCCTGCAGTGTGCCTTTATCTTTCTTCCCAAGCTTCCTCTGGAGCGTGCCTTTAACCCTGGCTGTGAGGGAGCCAGATTTATCAGCAGCAATAAGTTTGGAGAACTGCTCATTGACTCCGGACACACCGCCGTCTGAGAATGCCGATGCCATGCTGGCCTCTGAGACAGACCCAGTACTGTCCGCTCCACGCTGCATTCTGTCCATCTTGCTCTGGTGCTTCTTCTTCACCTTCTCGCAGAGCTTCACGCGCTTCTCCGCTTCTTTGATGGCCTCCTTCTTTAGATTGACGACCTTCTTTGGGTTTTGGTTGGTCTGCTGTGAGGCGGCAGCGTCTAGGAAGCGCACGCAGTCCATGCGGTCACGAGAAGCAGCAACGTCCATGGCTGTGTGGGAGTCATTGTCCAGGGCAAAAAGGTTGGCACCAAAGTTGACCAGGAAGCTGAGGATGTGCATGTGGCCGTTAGCCGCAGCGTGGTGCAGCGGCGTGTTTCCCCAGATGTCACTCCGGTTGGGGTCTCCTCTGTATGACACAAAAGATATATTAAATTTTAAGTAATTATCTGGAACTTTTTTATTTCTTGCCACTCTCTATCACTGATTTCTACCATATCATAATAATGATTCTTCCTTTATCCAGTTCATACAGGTTTCCAAAAAAACATTCATCAGATTTTAATTTTTTTATTCGATTTGATTCATCTGTGGATCTACAAAACACACTTATTAAAGGGACAAAACGATCAAATATTTATTCCAAATATGGTCCTAAGAAGTGCAAACCTAAAACACCAGATTCAAACAATAGAATCTTGAAATCAAAAGTACATCGGTGTAAACTTATAAAAAAAGACTGGTCACATAACTACACAAAAATACAACAAAAATAGAGTTCAAATACACGCATTTCCCAAAATGTCAAAGTATTCTTTTAAATGTGAGGTAAGAATTTGACATAAAGTCTTTCATATACAAAATATAATCACAACATAATAACTAAATAATATCAAGCAACCTAATAGGTAAACTATTAAGATTTAAAGTCCTTCTGTGCCGTGCCTCATCGTCACAGCCATAAAAGTGCAACAACTTGTCATAAATCCCACAGACCAAAGCGGAAAAAAGCTTCTATCAATTCTGGCCACGTAGGTTATGCGTGCGTTACGCCCTACTAGATATCACACATTTTCTGAACCAAATTTTTCAGTAAGAATGTTGTTCTAGATTTAAGCCTGTCTCTTGTTGTGATGAGTGAAGGCAGGAGGTTGGGGTGGTGGGGACAAGATAAAGGGCTCTTTTGTTGCAGACTTTCTTTGGCTGATTAAACATTTGGCTCATGCTCATGGGGGAATTAAGTTTTAGCTCATTATATTATGGTGAAAAACGTGTTGGAAAAACCCAGACGAAGCCAAATAACTGTTAAGGCATCAAACACATCACTTTTCAGCCATTATGTTCTATTTGGTTTAGTTTAGTTTTAGAGCATTATACATTATATTATTAATACAATATTATCGTAGAATTTGCCAAAAACTAAACAATTTCTATAAACGTCAGAGAACTGAGGTGATAATCATGGAGATAAAGTTATCTATGTGAAATGAAGCCCAGGAGGTAAAGAGGAGTGTAACATGCTTACTCTCTGCTGCATATGAGCTGAAGCGCATCGATGTGTCCATGGAAAGCAGCGAGTAAAGTGGGAGTCATGCCATCCTCATCCGCAGTGTTCAGGTCCTTCCTCGTGGCCTCTTTTAAGAGGTCCAAGTATCCATCAATCGCTGCTTTGTGGTACCTAGACATCTCTTCACCAGAACAGAAAAGGTCCAAACAAATCTGTCGCTTTCTTTCACTCTTTCCTCCCACACGCCAAACAGATTCACAGAATGACTCGACCGCAGACCCGAGCAAACAAAGTGGTCACTGGGCGTCAACGGATCCGCAGCTCAGAGCAAATAAAACAAAAGCAAAGTCCAGTTCACTGCTGGCAGCTGCACAATTTAGCTACAGCTCGAGATCATCATCAAGCGTCATTTAAAGCTTGATTATTAAGTGTGGTCACAGCAAGATTTCCAGGTGATAAGTGTAGTTTTGAGTCACCTTCTCTGCTACTTTACAATACTTCTTTTGACTCTGCTACATTTATTTCTACAGTTAGTACTTACTTCACTGATTAAGATTCACAGAATGCAATCATTGTATAAAATATGACACTTTATGAGATATTAAAGTGTTAAACAGTGTATAAAGTAAAGTTAAAATGACCTTCACCTTGACCTGCTACAGTATTAAAGTAAGTTTAATCAGTGTAATGTTATATAAGTAATATTATCAGTGGTGAAGATGTTCAGATCTTTAACTAAAAACAAACAAAAAACATTTCAACAATCATGTCAAGTTTTCTTCATTCAGAATTAAATTCAAGTAAACATATCTACAAAATGCTCATTTGCAGAATTATCATTTCTTATTTGTATTATGTATATGATATTGGATTAATCCTACTTATCCATAACCATATAAGCAGTATTTTAATGTTGTACATGCAAAGTTGAAGCTAATTAAAAAAAAATTGTAATACTCTGTTAAGGTAACTATGTGTTTTATTTGTATAATATGAATGTAAAATTATTGTCTGCAAAGTATCTTGAACTATAGTTGTGAAATAAATCTATTGGAATTGAAAATACTTAAATAAAGTACAAATAAGTAAAATCTAAGTAATACTTGAGTAAATGTATTTACTTTGATTACTACTTTTGCTTGAATAACAGATCTCAATCATACTTTCTCCACTGGGGATATTAAATATAAATATATATATATAAAATTTAAATAGTTCATATTCATTTGTCGTTCCCTCCAGGCTCTTGAAAATAAATCACTAAGCACTAAAATAATATCTTTCGAAAGACACAGGTCATGTAGATTTGACTGATTTCAATTCTTATTTAAAGAGATGGATGTATATTTCATTTTCTTGTTTTATTAATAAGTAAAAACTTGGACTTACTGAACTATTCAAATATGGCATGACAATTAGATATGTCAAAACATAAAAAGGTAATATCTAATTATATCTTTTATTTGAGCTAATAATTCAAATTTTATGTTTAAAAAAGTCAGCAAACAAGTTTTTAAAAATATTACATTACAAAAAAAAATGTGTCGATTTAAAAAAATGTGTTATGAATTATTTGTGTTATTCTTAATTATTTTTAATCCACCACTGCGTCATTAAGTGGCTGTAATGCATGTTAACGGCGAGCTGAACGCCATTAGAAGACGAAGAAGAAGAAGAAAAAATAAGAACCAACGAAGAAGAAGTTGTCAACCCGGTTAGACCGTTCTCAGCCAATGAATGGAGACTGGGAGGAAACATTGATCGACACTTTTCTCGCTACATTGTATTTTACGCCTGTTGGCTTATAAAACACCATGAAGTCAGAGCTGCGAATGTTCCCGTAGTTTCCCTGACCGCAGCTATTAACAAAATACACACCGACCACCAGCTACCACTCTTTGGATCGCTTCGCGGTGACTTTCCGGTGTTTTGAGTCTCTGTGCGGTGGTCTGAACCGGGAGAGAGACTGCAGAGATGTCCGACAGCGGTGGCTCGACTATCGGCCTTCTGTCTTACGAGACGCTGGTTCATGCTGTGGCAGGTGCACTGGTGAGCAGAGATAAAAAGGGCTATAAAATGAATGTGAAGTATATGGACGAGCCTTTTTGCCATTTGTTTTGTGTCGTTACGGTGGATTTTGTCTTTTCAGGGGAGTGTGACAGCGATGACGGTCTTCTTTCCTCTGGACACAGCCAAAAGCAGACTGCAGGGTGAGTGGGAGGTTGTCATGAGAGTAGTAACGAGTTCAGTGTTTCACGGTTTTCTTCATTATTGAGTAACTGTAACTGTAAAACAGAGATGTGACGGACTAGTCCACTCATTCAGTACTGCACTCGACCAATACCCTGACTTGTAGTGATTTTTACTGAACTTACTTACTTCCCACATACCTGGTAAACACCTGTGTTTACCTTTTGGTTTGTTACTTGTAGTTTTCTGCTGTACATTTAAAAGTTTTAAACCCTGATGGCATCACCTGGGTTGTTTACTTCAGACCTGAGAGAGCTTCTCCAAAGCCACAGAAAACCTTCTTCAAACCATGGAGGATGAGTCGTACTCGTGGTGTCCAGTGAACGGATCTCGGTAGAGCTGCCTTGTTCACTGACTTGTCCCACCGTTGTGTTTGTCTTTCAGTGGACGAGATGAGAAAGGCTAACTCCACCCCCGTCATCCTGGCGGAGATAGTAAAGGAAGAAGGCCTGTGAGTAAAGTTCTGTGCCGTTGTTTTGTTTTTAAAAAGAACCGTGAAACATAAGTGCAATGTCATTGCAGTCTTAACTGTCTTCACTAGAGCTGAAACAGCTGATCATTCAGTTACCATTTAGTTGATCGTTGCTTCTCCGATGTGAATATATCTGTTTTGTTTTCTAAGTCTGCCTCTCCGTCTCTTCTCCCAGTCAGTCCCTCTACAGAGGCTGGTTACCAGTCATCTCCAGCCTCTGCTGCTCCAACTTTGTCTACTTCTACACCTTCAACACACTGAAGAAGCTGGCGTCGGCTGGTCCAGGGAAGTCCAGACCCAGCCAAGACCTGCTGATTGGGGTCGTATCAGGTACAAACTAATAATTATTCAAGTACTAAAGGAGTTTGGACTGAAGGACTTCCTTGCTAGCGGTCTCCCTCCCTACTTTAGTTGGTGCATTAACGCCACCTGCTGATCCATTAAATAAGGTGAATGTGTATCACTGCTCCATAGAGCTGCTGGAGGTCAAAACCTCCATGTGGTACCTTTTTTAGGAAGCATTCAAGGAAGCTAATAATCTGTTGTTCCTACAGGGGTGGTGAATGTGATCCTGACCACTCCCATGTGGGTGGTCAACACTCGACTGAAGCTGCAGGGAGCAAAGTTCAGGAACAAAGACATCCATCAGACCCAGTACAGGGGCATCTTTGGTGTGTGAGATACTTATGAATATATCTGTCTTCCAGTTTTAACAGTTCAGATGTGCTCACTTTTAAAACCCTGCTGGGTTTGGGCTTTTGCTCTCAGATGCTTTCTCACAGATCATAGCCAATGAGGGTGTGGCAACTCTGTGGAACGGCACTCTGCCCTCTCTTATCCTCGTCATCAACCCGGCGATGCAGTTCATGTTTTATGAGGCCATGAAGAGGAAGGCGGGCAGTGGAGGGAAGAAGGTGAGAGGACAGAACGCTACATTAGCTCCTGCTTGAAGGGCTGTGATCTGGGACGATCCGTCTTCAAGATATTCGATGACACAGCAGAGTTTAAAATCAAACGGGACGAAGAGTCTCCAGCCATGCTAGCTGCTCTGAGCTGAATGCTAATGTGTGCATGCTAGCATGCTCACAATGACAATGCTAACATGCTGAGGTTAAGAAAAGGCATAACGTTTACCATCTTAGTTTAGCTTTTAAGCATGCTAACGTGTGCTAATTAGCACTAAAAGGCAAACAACAGCTGGGGCTGATGGGAAGGCCATGTGTTTTGCAGGTATTTGGTCAATAACAAAGTATTGGACAAATTACTATTTTGACCAGCTGTTACTTTTATGTTTTGATCATACTATCAATTTAAACAGTTCTATAAATGCTCAAGCAAAAGCGCTGGATGCGAGTGGATTACGTCTTTGTGTCCTGCCACAGATCTCCTCAGCAGAGATCTTTCTCATTGGAGCCATTGCCAAGGCCATTGCTACCACTGCATCATATCCTCTTCAGACAGTTCAGGCCATCCTGAGGGTAAATATTAATGTTTTTGTTTACTTTTACCAAGATATCTCACACATTATGTGAGAGGATATTCTGTATTTGTTGTTGTTTTATCTATATTGTCACATGTTCAATGCTTTTTCATCAGTTCGGCCAGTACAAAGGTGACGGTAAGGCCGGTGTGATTGGAAGCCTCTCAAACGTTTTCTCCCTGCTGATGGACAGAATCAAGTGAGTGCAGCCACGAACGTAAACACATTAACTGGTGAGGATGTTATAACGGCTCATCATTGATATACGTACATCCGGTGTCTTTGTCACAGGAGGTACGGTGTTCTTGGTTTGTACAAAGGCCTGGAGGCCAAGCTGCTACAGACGGTGCTCACGGCCGCCCTCATGTTTGTAGTGTACGAGAAGATCACTGCTGCCACCTTCAAAGTCATGGACCTGAACAAGAAGCTGACGCAGTGAACAAACCCCTCCCTTGAATACAGCGATGCATGAGCACACCCATCGTCAGTAGGTTTTTATCAATGCCTACCGATGATATGTTGATGCCAGGAATTGATTCAGTCACATTACCGTTGTCGTAAGAGACGGGATTGCTGCCCAAAACAAACACCATAACCAGAGCTGGGTGTGATACTTCTAATACCCTCTCTTTCTTAACCTCTAACTGGTTCCATTTGTGCAAACTGGTGTTGATTTGATCTCTGTTGAGATGGTTCTAAGTAACCTTACTAGCTGAGATAGTCATCACAACGACACGTAAAGGGAAAGCGGATATCATTTAGGGAAGTAACGCTTTTTGCTTTCTTCCCTAGAGACGGATGAGAAGATCGATACCACTCATTAGATAGGACTGATCCTGGCCAAGTAAATGTTCTTTTGCTTTTGGACCATTCCTCACGCACTGTCTTGTGTTTTAACTGTGAATTTAACTGAGTTTGATAGAACCCTCAAGACATTCTGGCCAGATGAGTGTTTTATTTAATCTGCTGATTTATGATGTCATTATTACACACACAGATTAGCAGTAGTCACAATAGTGTTGAAAGGGAGAGTAGCTCCCATTCACATGGACAGACGTATGTGTCAAATCTGCTCTGAAAGCTCTTGATTTTAACAATTATAACATTAAGTCAAAATGAATTTAACGTAAATGGGAATGAGTACTTAACAATACACAGAGCAAAGCTTACATGTGTACAAATACTGCAGTAAGTGCCTCTAAATATGTCTGAAAAAACTGTAACATGAACTGATATAAATGCTGTGACGACTGTTGACGATTTACTCCTCCGTCCACAGTCTGCATGATTGTATTGATCCGTATGAACATTTTGTTACACAGGTGTCTTCTATTAGTTTTTCTGTTGGGCATTCAAGTTTGCAGTAATTTACACTATTTGTGTAAATTACGCATTTTGTTGCTGTTTAACTGGTTGTTCAATTTGTTAACTTGAGTTTTAATCATTACAAGAGTTGCTGCTGTCGGTATTACTTTTTCAGTGCCAGTTGTGTAGTCTCGCTCTCTCGGAAGTATAATGGGTAATTTGAAAATAAAAAGCAGAAGGTGTTTATGAAAAAAAGAGAGTGAGGCACTAAATGTCCGGTAAGGCAGAACATTTAAACTGCCAGGAAAGATAGAAAGTGTGTGAAACAGCAGGAAAGCTCTAAACAAAGAAAGTGTCCCTCAGTCTGGTGAGGCAGAAGGACGGCATTAAGAAGGAACCCAAAGCTGGTGTATGAGTCACTTTTAATTAAAAAACAACGGCAATGAGGCAACGGTTACAAGAATACACCATGCATGTTCACTACGGTCTTCTTCACAAATGAAATGTTTTGTCTTAACATGAAAAAAAAACGTGTAACTGCAGATGCAATTCTAACTTGAAGTCATGATTTCATTTGTTAAAAATGTTTTTCTACTGATGTTTTCTAATTCTGTTTTGATTAAAATTGAACACTTAACCACTGTTCTTGGGTTTAAATGTTAAAATAAAGTCTGAGAATCCTCCATTGGAGGTCTGAATGAACATTAACAGTGGACCACGTCTTGGCTGTAAATCAGGGCTGACGGTGTGAGTCTTGACTTCTGGTCATCTCCTCCACAAACCAGTGTGGCAGGAAGGAATACTGGGAGTCCCTGTGGACGGAGAACGTCACGTCTCTGCGGGGCTCCCAGGAGAACAGGTACACCACGCTGGAAGAGATAATAAGGATTCATGAAAGATATTTGCTTGAAATATATTTTAAAAAAGGTTAACAACATAGTTTGTCATTGCAACTTACCTTGGATTGTCTTCAGTAGCGATTTGCTTCACAAAAGACAGGAAATCACAGCAAAAGTTCATACAGACCGTTGGCTTCCAGCAGTTTTGTTCATTCTGTCCAGAGAAAATACAGAAGACAGTAAGTGCAAATGTTTTGTGTTAATCTTTTATTAACTCATGTTCAATCACTTTTTATTTGGGGGGAGATTTCTCAATGTTCAGATCAGCCTTTGATGACCAGTAGTTTATCGTACCTTGATGAGCTGTGAAATCTTAGAGATGGGGAAAGTGTCCACAGTGACCACCACTCCTTCCTCATCCTTAAAACCTGCCACAACACGGGGGACTCCCGGGAGAAAAGACTGGGCCCACCACTTCAGCAGTTTGAACCTGAGGACCACCAAAAAGGAGGATCATACCAGCTTCAAAATCAAACATCCAACGAACAGCGTGACATGAAAAAAGTGAAGAATCGTGTGATGTTTTACCGTTTCATCATCTACCTGTGAAAGTTGCTACGCTGTTTCGGGGTGCAGATCTCCGCAGAGGTCTTCAGCTCCACGTAGCATGCGGGAGGAGCCGGAGCGTTGGGATCTTTATCCCGGCAGTCCACCTCCCCGGAGAACAGGAGTCTGTGATCGGCCAGCCGAGTTTGCACCACAGTGCAGAAGGCCTCATTGGTGTTCACCACTCCGCCTGGGTCAGGTGAACTGTGGACGTCATCTACAGGGAGGGACAAAGGTGAGGCTCTGTTATCTCTTAAATGTGTGCTGAACGCCCCGTCTATCTGTGTCAAACGTAATAAAATGAGATTGGAATGTATGGAAGTTCATTTGTGTCGGGGAAAAGAAACACCGACTGTAAGTCAGAATTATGTAAAGAATTTCGCCTTTTAAGTCAAAATTATTTATTATTTAGTTATTATTTTACTACTACATCAAAAGTATTTGATATAAAGCTTTTATAATAATTTCTAAATCAAAATAATTTGGGAAAGAATGTGAGACGCGAAGTCGCAATTGACTTTGAAACTTAAAAAACTTTGATAGGTCAAGATTAAGTCAGACTTTAGATTTTCTAGGTTGAAAGCTATGAGGTACTAAGTCCTAACAAAGTCCATTATAGTCTTTGATGTGAATTCAAACCAGATATCTTTTTAGTTTAGAGGGTATGATTCAAATCTTGTTTTATATTTATATATACATTATATACCCAAGACCTTCCTCGTCGCCAGTGTTTTGGTTCAGTTAAAAAAAAATAAGTAAGGAGGTAAACACCAAAGTAGGGTTTACATGTTGTACTACCCTGTCATTTGCAGGTGCCGTCATCTTTTTAAGTGTGAATTTTAAAAAGAAATGTTGATAGAATACTGTATTGCATTAAACCTACCTACCTGCACATGTGTATTGCTCAAACTTGTATCCCCAGTACATCATCTCCTTGTGTCTCTCTGTGCGGTTCTCTTGTTCCCGTCGAGCGGCTTCTGTTTCCACCTCGCTGATGTAAAGCGTGCCCCTGAACCTGCTGACTGCCAGCAACCAGCCCTCGCGTGTCTCATAGGGAGTGGTCAGCAGCTTGGTCAGATGGCCGCGCCATGTCACAAAGTCGAAATCTAAAGCACTGTGATGGGCAGAGGTAGAACAAACAACGCGTGTTGTTAGAGGTGGTTGGAGTCGCGACTAGAGATCCCAGGTGAGTATCTATATCTGACATTGACCTGTTGCCCTGATTAAGGAAAAAAAAAAAAAAAAGTACAAACTAACAACAACACTTACCATGATGAGGCTGCGGTCACCTTTGAGCTGAGCTTTGATTTATTGGCCAAGATCCAGCGGAGGATGTGGTCCAGCTTCTCCTTCTCACTTTCGTCTCTCCTGATATAGCGGTCCTTGTATCCATCCTTCAGGTCAAAATTAGGATTTCTGTCAGGTTCCACGTAGTATTTCATCCGCCTGCTGTCATTGAAGAATCTACGCTCAGAGTCAAGGGAAAAACACCCTACTTCGACCGGCTGTTTGTACACCGGAAAGTCTCTTTCGTATAACTCCCTTCTGGTGCTCAACTCCTGAGAGCTGCGTGGGTTTTGCGGCGGTGTTGGCCCAGACTGATACTGGTGGTGGTTTGGTCTGGAGCGTTTATTCTCACTGTGATTTCTTCCACCGGCATCTCTGTGTCGTCTGTATGCTGACTGGGGGTTTTGGTAGCTGGAGTTGGGATTGTGGGATCTGGCCGGGTCCATTGCTACCTAGTGGGGGAAAGAGCAATGATTTATGAAACGTTGATGATTATTCATATCTGCTTGATTGTCTTGCTCTGCTGTAGGAAAGCCCAAACATGTTCTCACTCATCATCACCCGTGTTGTCACTAAAAAGAAGTGCTATGCCTTTTTTTATACTGCTGACACAAGACAACCCACTATTTGTGTATCATGTATATAGTACCTTTTATTTTTTATGCATATTGAACATAATGCTTATTGTATACTAGTTTCTAAGGTTACTTAACTATTTCATTATGAGTCTATTATTGCATGGGATCAACAACGTTAATATTATGTATCTATATATGCACCCCAGATGAGCACATCACATCGTGATCTGTGTAAATAACTATATATTGTGTCTGTGTGTGAATGCAGACATATCATGTAAAGATGCTTGTATTGAGTGTTGTGTGCTGCAGAAGTGTGTCTGCATTGACTAAACGTGTTTCTGTGCATGCCTTTCTGTGCATGTATGTTAGGTTAATCAAGGTTTCCAAAAATATCTATTTTTTTTGTGCTTTGCTTTAGCAATGTGCGTTACCTTTCCAACATAACATACTTTATTACTTCTAACACTAAATCACCGGTTATTAAATGAAAAGCTAACGTACCGTAGTCAGCATACACAGCACAAGCAGCTAACGTTACCTTTGTGTCAATGCCCCGTCAGACACAATAATAAACACGACTTTGTGTAAACACGACTATCATATATTGCAGCGTCTTTTCTAATCTACACACAAGAAAGAAAGAAGGAAAACACAAAGTGTTGTCGTCTCGTTGGCTGGGTAGCTAATGGCACCACAAGCTAACAACAACTCAACGCTACTTCCGTATACAGTCGCTGCTTCTTCTTCTTCTTCTTCTTCTGGTTTTACGGCGGTTGGCTTCCATCTTATTGGTGCATTACCGCCACCTTCTGCTCCGGAGTGTGGATCAGACAATATACTTATAATCTTTACCCCAAAACAAAACTAACAAAAACAACCCAAATAATAATAATACATACTGATAAAACAGAATAACTAACAAATAAACAAAAAAATAAGCACTCCAACCAGCACCCTTCGTGTACAGTCTCTCCTCCAATCCGCACGGTGGTAGCCGCGACACTTCCGGCAAGAAGCCCAGTAAAGAAGACTTTTCAAGTTGTCAGTTAGAGCTGTGGGGACCAAAGCGATGTGAACACCAATATTAATGATATTAGTAGCGATTAGGTAAGCGTTTTAACTAGTTTAACTGGTCAAATATAGGCTCCTGTCTTCAGTGTGCACACAAAGCTAAGTTAGCTTAGCTTCAATCATGGATGTGTAAACAGAACGGTTGCAATAGCTTAGCTAACGTCTCTCAAAAGGGATGACTGGCGTTTTATAAGCAACAATGTTCCTGTTAGCCCAGATAATACTCTCACGTGGGGTCTGTGGAGAGAGAGAAGCAGCTGTCTGATTAAACTGGTTTATTCTCTTCCGCATTGCTTTTTCCTCCAGGTATGAACAGGAAACGAGCTTTGATTTCAGACACTTTCAAGGTGAAGAAAAGAAGAAATGGAATACAGAAGTTTGGAGCCATCAGTGATGGAGATGGTAGGGTGTGACTACTAAAAAGCTAATTATATGTATATGTATCTCATTTAAGATTAAACTTCATTGATCTTTTTTTTTACTTTAAAGGACCAACTGACATCAGATTCACCCTCGAGTATCTCATGACGCTGTTCCCCAGGAAGCTCTTCAATGACAGCCTGCCTCAGATCGTTATGAAGCACCAACTCTACAGCATTCACAATGACAAGACGTTGGTGGACAAGGAGCTTGTGAGATGACTCTCTGGTGTCAGAAAGGTCACGTGTGTGTATCTATCTGTGTATCTGTCTCAATGTGAAAACCCACTGGGCCTTTCTTGTGGCCCACAGAATAAACTGCGGGAACGAGGAGAGCTGCTGATGTTCCAGCTCGGGTTCGATGCGGATGCTTTCGGGCTGGTCTTCGCTGCAGATTACAAGGCCAAAGTGCTGGCGGGGGAGGACGGCAGGCCGACAAGAGCCACAGTGGAGAGGTTCTTGGAGAAGTTGTCGTCTCCTTGCACAGAACTGAGCTTCAGCAAAGACAAGATTCTTAAAGAGTTTCTCTTCACAGACTCTGAGATAACGTAGGAAATACTCCCATCTATCTCGTGTTGTTTACTTCCAAAACAAATTATCATCATCATCATTTAGCCCCTGAATGTCTTTAATACGAGTCTTCTCCTGTGTTTGGAACCTTTTTTTCATCTACAGTGTATGACATTTTTTGAAAAATCAGCACATTCTATATTTTCTCACCCTCTAGGCAGCTGGTTAAGTCCGGGGTCCTGACTGTGAGGGACGCCGGCAGCTGGTGGCTTTCCATTCCCAACTCTGGCAAATTCACCAAGTACTTTATACAAGGTTGGTGTCACGAAACAAAAACAGTCTCGACAATACTTTCCTTTTAATGACGTTTCATGTAAATTTCTCATTTTACGAGTTGTTTTTTTTGACGGTGCCTTGCTAATTGGAGGACTGTTTGTTGTTCCCCAACCATCTTACCGCTCTTCCTGTTATTAGGTCGTAAAGCAGTGCTGGGCATGGTGAAAAAGTCCAAATATAGTGAAGTCCTAAAGGCAGAGCTGGAGGAGCGGAGAACAACCTCGCATGTGAAATTCCACATGAAGTACCACATCCATGACATCGTGGGTGCAGAGCTGGTGGAAAGGTGACATTTGCAGTTTGCATGCTATTGATTCTCATGTAGCTGCTCTCATTTATGATCCTCACAGTCCAGTAATTGAGGATTTTTAAGTTGCTTGCTTGAACAACCCTCAGGCCGTATTTATAAAAAATGATTGCTTGAAGTCTCAACTCAAGGCAGCTGCTGTTTTTTAAATGCCATCCACCAATGACACCTTTGATTTATTACTCATCTTGGACTATTAGGGAAATAGTTTATTGCATCTTCATTTTCTAAATCAAGACTTTTTCTTCCCAGCATACCTACAACTTCAGGGACGTTGTTGCGACGTGTTGAGTCCTGAACCACAGCAACAAGCCTGACGATTGGAAGATTCAAAAAGGTTTATGAACAGTGTTTATTACGACGGATGGTAAATGAATCAAGATTTCAGTTTGATTTTGTGCCAAATGCATTATAAAAAAAAAACCTTGTGGGTTTATGAATTGTCAATTATGTTGACATGACCGTGTCAGGTTTTGATTTATCTTGTAATAAAGTTTTATTTGCCTCATTATGGAAGTCACACTTTCTGTGCACACGATGACGGTCACTTCTTCTGCTCACCATTGAGATCCGTCACCAGTGTTTCTAGGATTGACTGACAGGTGGTCCGATCAGAGCCTCGCAACCGTTACAAATAAAGCTCAATATTTGATTTAAGCTCAGTTGATAATCGAATTCATTCGATCCCTGGCCGATTTTATTAGCAATCCAATGCAACCCATCTGCCACTTATTTTACATTTAGCAAGATCACAATCTGCTCATAAGTGAATCATTTTTACAATGACGGGAATGTTATCTTAAGCACTTGGAGATCATTTTGCATAACCTTGGAGTTAAAGACTAACCAAAGGACGAGATCAACATCACTTTCCATTTTCTAGGTACATTTGTAAAATCAAATACAAAAGTTCTACCATATTTTGCAAGGCTTTCTTACATCGCAGAGCTAACAGTTGTATTAAATGGAAACATTTTCCAGTACTGCTTAAGTGCATTAGCTCTACTTTATGCTTAAACATATTAAGTGTCCGTCAACAGCGCTCTGTCAAGTGTTGCATCAAGGAAAATGTGTGGCTGCACTGTCCAACAAAGATGCTGAGGAATCGGTTTTACTTGAATTTATTGGCTTTTTCAAAAAGTGACAATAGCTTTTATCCGTAAGACTAAAGAGTCACAACATTGGCTTGAATTAAAGCACAGCTTGATGTCTGAATACAATACAGATGAGCAACATGTACTTAACCCCCGATCTAGTAGTTCAAATACAGTTTGTAAATAGTCTAATCTTAAGTTTTCAGTATATGTTGCACATACATGCTGTCAGCATTAATTACAAAAAAGCTAGGCTTGTAGGGAGATTAAGGTAGCGTTAACTGTAGAGGTAATAAACAAAAAGGATATTCATAGTGTTAGTTAAACAATACAGTGAGTGAAGTGTAACTTCTGTGAAGAAAGATACAAAACAGTCAAATCACATGATTATAACAAAAAGATAAGTACGCTGTATACTACACCATCACCGACAGCAGCCATGTTACCGTTGTTAGCGGGCATAAATGCTCTTCTTAGTGACATTGCTTAGCCAGTAGTGATGCGAGTAAGAATCAAATGTGCTGCACAAAAGGTTTCTGATAAATGCCCACAGAGCATTAACGGTGCTCTTGTTCCCCGCCACCAAAACAGTTCTAATCCAAAATATCTAATAAAGTTTTCAGCGTTGCACTTCTGGGCAGCTACACAGTTGAGACACACTTCTAGGGAAATATTGCAAAAGAGGATTGTGGGAAGAAAAAAATAATAAAAAAAAATACCTTGACCGGTCCGATTGGAGCCAAACACATGAAAAATACTGGATCATTTAGATTTGTCGGGGTTTAATAGCACGGTTGGTGTCGGAAGATCGGTTGAATTTCTCAGTACGTCTTTAGGCGTCAATTCAACCCATGACGATGAGTCACCGTCAATCGTGTGCTGAAAACTAACCGGTGAAGAGATTCGTGGTGCACAAACAATTTGAAGCAAAAAGAACTTCACAGATGATTAGATTCAGGTTCCTTGTCAACGGAGCGATGACACAGTGAAAGTGAATAAAATGCCATTGATTACGGAGCCGGGCAAACGGCAGCACACAACAGCAAACTGCCAGCTGTTATTTGAAGGTTTTAAAAAGGTTTGAGACAACAGAACAAAGATTTGCTTTCCTGTTAAAATACAGCACGTCTGCAGGATGTATTTGGCAATATTTTCTTCCACTCAAAACAAACAACCAAGACTGTAAACAAACAAACAAACAAACAAACAAAAAAAAAAAAAAAAAAAAAAAAAAAAGTGGACAACCAGTGGAAGAGCAAATTTAAAACATTCCACGGTCCAGTTTTTTTTTTTTTTTTTTTTTACAAAAAACATCCAATCCACTTTAGAAGGCCTCAAGAATTTCATAGTGTTGTCTATACAGTATGTGTTGTTGGGAAAGAGCTCGGGTCTATCGTCTTCCAAACCCCTTCTCCTAAATCTGACCCTACTGCTGTAGCTACACGTATGGAAGGAAAGAATCTGAAGTACAATGTTTCTGTGTGTATACTGGTGTGTTTCTCCTGCGCCTTTAGCCACCCCTCACCACGAGCGGCCATGTCCCCCCCCCCCCCCCCCCCCCCCCGTCATCGTTCCGGTGGAGGAAGTCTTAGAGGAGAGAGCACTTCTTCCCCTTCTTCTTGACGGGTGGAGGGCAGAGGACGGCCCGGATGGCCTCGTCGAACACAGTTTTAAGGCCACGCTGAGTCAAGGCTGAGCACTCCAGGTACTTGACGGAACCTGAGGAAACCACACATCAAATGTGTTTTCTTTTAGTAATTCAGAAAAAAACAACAACAACAACAACACAAGGTCAGAGGTAACTCGGTAAAGAAGATATGTGTCCTTACCGATCTCTTTGGCCATCGCCAGTCCTTGGGGATATGTAATGGGAGAGAGCTTCTTCTCCTTCAGCTTCTCTGTGGTGTCCTTGTCATCTCTCAGATCCAGCTTGGTACCCACCAGGATGATGGGAGTGTTGGGACAATGGTGTCTCACCTCAGGGTACCACTGCACAGAGAACACAGCATCGAGAAGTTAGAGGTATAACTTTACAAACCGGTCGACGTTATCTTGAACATGCGGTTTCTTAATGACTAAGTACTATTTTTTTTAATCCCAGCTATGAGCGTGAGATGCTGTTGATTCTCATGGAGACGTTCGATTATTGCACAATACAAGGTTATTCTCCAAGTGACAAAGTGTGGAGATTAATATGCTTGTTGAATTTGGTCAGTGTTTACATGTTGTAGTCTGAAATGAAAATAGTTCAGTGCAATAAACGTTCAGCTGGGAATGCAATCGGTCTTTAGTGTGGCCAACTTTCTTCCTGGAGTTAAAAGCCCAGTTTTTAATCCATTTAACCAAATAGTGTAACAATGGTTTCTTATATCGCTGTAAATAGTTCTCATTAGGGGCGAAATGATCAAACTAACTAGTAAACATGTCTTATTATGTGTCACTTTATTATTAACTCAGTGCCTCTGTCCATCATGTTCTTAATGAGGCTGTAAAAATAAGACATAAGATGATCTATGGGTCAAAATAAATCAGTCATCCCTGGAGAAAACCCGTGGGCCAATCAAAATCAGCCCCGATGCCTCTTATCATGCCATAAAACAGATCCATTACGGTCTTCAGTCGTTATCATACCGACACTGCATCAACTCACCTTGGCACGGACGTTTTCAAATGAGGCCGGACTCACAAGCGAGAAGCAGATGAGAAACACATCCTGGTGAGAAAAAGGCAAACAATACAATCAGAGCCCAGAACAACTATTTCCTTTGAAGACCAGTAAGGACCTTTGATCATGCAGCACAAAAGGTGTTTCCCTCTTACTTCCTTATTCATACCCAAACTTTCCAAAAGTATTATGCAAGAGAGCCACCATCATCAAAGCATACTTCAAAGGCAAACACCGCACTTCAAAGAAAATCCCAATAAGCAAACTATAACACAGAATTGTCTGACTGTGTTTTTTTCTTTGTACCGTTTGCGGGTAGGAAAGTGGGCGGAGTCTGTCATAATCTTCTTGTCCTGCTGTATCCCACAGACCCAGGTTCACCGGCTTCCCGTCCACCATGACATTGGCGGAATAGTTGTCGAACCTGACAGAAAGAATTGTGATTGCATGAGTTAAACCCATCAGGATGAATATAAACTGAGAACATATTAATAATCACATAAATTGACAGGAAATGAAAATAAGCATTAGTTCTTAATTAATCTGTTTTTCAGATCTCACTTGAAAATGACTCCTCGTTTATTACTTAACTCTGAACTAAAATTATGATTATCAACTGCGATTGTAACCTGTGCTGTCAGCAACCACGCTTTCAAATGATGACTGTTGGCGTTGATCAGCTTGTAGTCTTGCATAAGTAAATAAACAAACAGGGTCTGTAGCCTCAGATACTCACACTGTGGGGATGTACTCTCCAGGAAAGGCATTGGTGGTGTAGCTGATGAGCAGGCAGGTCTTACCCACAGCTCTGGAGGGGAGGAAGAGGGGAAATTACTCTGGGTTTTTTTTTGTTTTTTGTTTTTTAATAAATGGCATCACCCTCCCCAAAAACAGCATGCAAAAAGTCAATTTGGGTATAAATTGATATGATTTCGTACTTTGTACAATTGGAAAGCTGTAGGGCTGCAACTAGGAATTATTATCATTATCAGTTAATGTGTGAATTTGGTCAACAAAATGTCATAAACTAGTGAAAAACATCTGTCCTAATGTTCAGATTTGGGTTTTTTGTGTCCAACCTGTGGTCCAAAACCCAAAGTTATTGAGTTGACATTCATAAAGGACAATCAAAAAAACTGTAAAATTTGAATATATCACACTTCAGCTCTACTCAAGCCTCCAAAAACAGAAACTGTTTAGTGAACCCTTACTATGGGAGAACAGCTTTGGTGTACAATACATTTTGTTTTTTAATAGATGTATACAAGACTACAAGAGGAAATGTGAAACTTAAGTGTTGAATCCTCCCTACTGCCAGCTTCCCCTTCGTCAAAAGCGAAAACACTAAATCAAACTCAGTCACAGAGGCCATCAATGACTCTGCTGCTGTGGTATCCACCACACCCTGAACAAGAAGATATGAGTTTACCTCACATATATTGTTGCACATATGAAAGTCAGTCATTGCTCATTCTTTAATCATTCACCAACCTGTAGTTGTTGCAGACAAAGTCTACAAAATGTACTTGAAATACATAAACAGCGCCACCAACACACAAACATTGCGTTTAACTCTTCACATTTCTCAATTCATGAGTAAATGTTGCCAAACTCTCGAGACTTAAACTCGGGTTAGGAGGGATGTGTGAATGTCTGACTCATCCAAAGAGTAATTTAAATCAAGGATTAGCCAACCACTTGCAAACTAGCAATTATGTAATGCAATATTTTGCCATTTCAACAACACTACATGAAAAATAATGGCGGATAACTCGTATATCGTAAGATAATAGTTAACCCATGAAGAATAAACAAGTAGTTAAAGTTAAAAGCTTGTTAGCTAACTTTACCCGTTAAGAAAAATCGGAAGCAAACGGATATACCGATAGCTAGTCTGGTGACAGCATTAACTAGCTAACGTTACACTTGGTTATTCGAGTTAAATCTCAATAGTAGGATGGATTAGGTTAATTTACCCGTCTCCAACAACGACACACTTTATGGCCTGCATTGCGCCGCAGCTAGAGGAATGCTAAGTTAGCCCGGGAGCTAACGTTAGCTCACAAGTCTCTTTTCCTTTGTCCGGAACTGCTCGCTGGTGAAACGTCCCAACTGGCGTTTCTCTAACGGTCGTTGGTAGAGCAGCCGAACTCCTGTGACGTGGAACGGCTCGTGGGGGAACTTAAAGTAACTTATCGAGCACTTTCACGCAAGTTTTTCGTCAGAAAATCCCTCGCAACATTCCCATGCTTTCGTGGGCAGATCTGGAAAGCTATGTGAAGCAAAACAGCGGCGGCCACCACCCCTGAGAAAAAAAAAAATGAAGTTAGCCACCACACACCAGATGGTGCATCCGGTGCGATGAGAAGATACGCCCACGTACATAACGATCTATAACTTCCTTAAAAACAAGCAGCTGACGAGCCACCGGTTTTTATACTATCAGAAAATGTAATCATCAAAAAGTGTTGTGAGTTTTGTATTTTTAAAAGCAAATTTGAACTTGGAAAGAAGATTAAAAAAAATAAACACGAATAAGACGGACTATTTTAAGTGTGACACGGATTGAGGAAATGACGTTGGTTAATGGGGACTTCTTCCCTGAACTCTGCTCCCCAGGCACTTTCCCCAACAAACAATTTAGAACATCAGGTTAAAACAGTCTCAGCAGATACATTTGATTTCAGATACATTTCAGTCCCTTTTATAATACTAAATTCATGTGTATTCAAAGTTTGAGGATGGCATAGCCAATAAATTCAAATATGGCATCTGTTCTTCATCTCTTTTTCTTCATGCAACAATTGGGCCCCATGCATATTAGTGTAGGCAAAAATAGCAACTTGTTGTGCGCAAAGATGCTCGGCTAATCAATAAATCCCCTTTCAAGGATTAATTGATTAGTTGACTGACAGAAAGATAATAGTTAACTGTCATTTATGATGCAAAAATCCCAAGCATTCATTGGTGCTCAGGTGCAAAGATTTGTTGTTTTTTCTCTATTTTATTGATTGTACACTTTGGGCTCTGGACTGTTGGTGATTTAAAACAAACCATTTCAAGACATCACCCTGGGTGCTGGGAAATTGCGATGGGTAAATTGACAATTATCTGTCATTTCACAGACTTTAAATAACTGATTGAGTAATCAATAAAACAGACAGTGAAGGAATCGGGCTGTAGGCAGCATTGATCACTGAAAGTAGAAGGCCTCAAAACAATTAATTAAAGAATTTATAGTTCTTCATTTATTAACGAGGAAATTCCACATCAATAAAAATAAATGGACTGAATCTAGACGTATGTAAACTATTGCCAAGAACTATTTGAATATGGCAGCACTATAAGATGTAAAAAAAACAACAGAAATACAATAAATGTTAAAAAGTATTGCCAGATACACACACAACATTATTTTAGTTTATTCATTTATTTTGTTATTGCCTTAAAATGTATACCCTTGGTATTAGCAGCTTTGGTTGTTTGTCATTTTTATGTAGTTACCGTGCTAACAATAAAAATACATTTTTAAGAATCTGCCTTCAGAGTGAAGTCAGGGCAAACAAATCCATATACACTTTCAACTTCCGTGTGTGTAACACCGTTACGAGTCCTCCCTTTGACCATAATGGGAACAAATAGAGAAGCCGTTGGGGTGGAGCAGCTCTGCCAACACAACCAGGCACAAAAAAAAAATGGTGCTCAGTCAACGATAGCAATATGAACTGTCACTCATCAGCCCGTTGGCCTCACTGACTGACACGGTTACCTTATCAACAGACCGGGCAGACCTCGTCTGTATGGCGGGTCTGTCCTATTTAGTGCTCCGGTTCTCGGGCTCCGCTGGTCGGACTTACGGAGTGTTTTCCAAAGGCTTGACGAGGACTTTGTTGATATTTTTTGATCTTGCATGGCGACTGCGAATCAGATTCCCTTATATCTACCTGGTCGCTTCGATGATGTTTAATGTCAGGTTACAGGTAATTATGCAAACACTCACGCAATTGCCAGTTTAGTAGGCAGCAAGTATTACTTAACTGCAGTACAGTCCTGCCATAATAATCCTTATTCAAGCTGTTTTAGAGAGGTGCTACGGTCAGTTTGTGGTCCTTCTAGGTTTCAGGCAGGTGTTTCTAATATTTTGTCCACCCCATTCATATCACTGATGGGTTTATTAAGAATTGATACAATTTGAAGGCAATAGGGGCTTTAAGTATATTATTATAAAGGATTAATCGATACAATATCTATTATAGGAGGCCGATACTGGATTATTATAGGCTACTGATTGGGAGTTTAAACATTCCCAGTTAATAAATAACCTTAATCCTAATTTGACATTTTCTTACTGCAATTTCATGTTTCTAAACAATACTGATAAACATCTGAAGCAAGCTAATATGTACAACTAGGCCGACAGTCGAGCTCTGATTTATTACAAGTCTCAATTTATTATCATATAATAGAAACTAAAGTAGAACATCTTCTTGAAACACTTGAAGCAGCATTGTTTTATATCTTTTTGCTTAACAAAGAACCTAAATTTATTGATTATCAGCGATTCAACTGACACTTGAATGGAGTTTTTGTGACTAAATTGACATTTGAGCAATAAAAGACGATTAAATTGGGAAATTTCAGATCTTCAGCTGACACTTTGACTATTTCTTACTCTTCAAATGGGAACTGATATTTTAACAGCCGTCAATGCTTACATACTGGCTGACACTTTCTCTTATCTCGTTGCTTCAACTTCAATTGAAATTTGATTTGCTATTATTGTTTACACTGATGCTTCAACTGTCAGCTGATTTAAAGTTTGAGCTCAGTGACCTCTTAACATGTTCATGCATGTCTGGATAGATAACTGTCTGATCCATTCGTGTTGCTCTGCTCATCTCTTCACAGGTCCACATTGAAATCCACTGAATCTTCTCCTGTTTTTGGACTTGACCCCATAAATTGTGGGCAATGCCACGTTTCAGCCCTCTAAAAGAAACTGTCTGACACTGCACAGCGATGTGGAGGAAGCGGACGCTTAAATCTGTGTGCCGATGCAAGGGTCAGCCCTCGCCCAGTGCCTTTTCGCAGGGGGGAGGACAACAGTGAAGACTGCGGTGATGTGTGAGGGCGGAGGGGGAATCGCTGCCCTCCGTTAACCCTCTTAACCCGCCACCTGAGATCCAGGAGCCGTCTGTCCTGTCCGTGGAGATCGTGTCGAGTGAATAGTGGATTTTGTCACTGCCTCTTCTCTCTGGATATCGAGGATTTTGGCGTGGATTTGAAAACAGTTGATTGTTACGGTGGTACTTTGTAGCCACTCTTCATTGTTTCACATGTATGTTTATTAGGTGGTCAACATCCCGCTTTAATTTAAAAAGTAAATATCTACGCCGCATGACACAAACAAGCATGTTTTTTTGTCCTCTGTGGCTCGGGGGTAAGCTGTGTAAGCGGTACATGTGGAGGTTTGCAGGAGAGCAGTAGGCCTACAGCTGCCACTACTGGAAATTCACAGTCTGTCATTAAAGTGCAGTGTCAATGGGAGCCACTGCATGTCTTCTTTGTGTGCGCAGACACACGTCGTCTCGCTCATTGTGGTTCTTTCTGCATATCACTGGAAAGGCGTTAGTGAAAAAATGTTACCTGCAAAGTTGATTCTTTTTTTAGCTGCATTTGTTTTTATTCCTGTGAAAAAATGTAAAGATTACTGAATTTGGGTAGTAATAAATGAATGAAGTCACGATTCTCAGCCTTTTCTGTCCTAATAAACATTCATTCATTTTCTAGGTTTGCTAAAGTGCCTTTTAAAGTATTCAAATACAAAGCTGAGTTACTTTTTTCTATTCCCATACATACAGTATACACTAGAGCCTATTTTCAACCCAGAGATATTCTCTATTTAAGGAGAGTTAATTTGCATTGCCGGTAATCTACATCAACATCCGAAGCATGAAACTGAAAGAAAACACCTCCAAAGGAATATTTATTAACAAAATGTACAAGATCATGTCACCTCCCTTGACACATATTGTAAATAGCCCAGCCATTTATTTTAAGAAATCCTGTTGCACGAACGGTTGCAGTACCAGATCTGTCCACACGGGGGAAGCATCCTGTCACTGTGCTGGATCCACCTCTCGTGATGTAACAGACATCACGAGCTGTCAACAATCCCTGAAGAGGATACAGGGGAGAATACGGAAGCTGTAATAAAACGTATGTAATAAAAACATCTGTCAGCACATCAGTGAAAGCAGGCTTACTGCTGTGCTGCTAATTGTCATGATTTATATTATCTGTTTTATTCTTACATATTTCCACAAAATATATCATCCATAAGTCTACTTCTGGAAAGGAAAATGTCAACTCAACTTCCACCTCCTTCATCTAATCTACGTGAATTAAAACGACATCTGTGATCCATGTCTGAATTGAAATAAACCCACTTGTAATAAATGAACCCACTTGGCGCCTCCCTTTAATATGCACTTCTTTTAAGAAGGGTTTTTTAAACTGCTGACACCCTCGCTCGGTGCAAAATATCCAATATCCCCGTGCAAACTTGCCCGAACCAGTCACTCTGATGCCAGGCTGCAGAGGAAAACCATCAGGGGTTGCCAAGGCAACTGTATTTTCCTCCATGTGACAGACAAACCTTCCAGCCAGCCCCCCCCCCCCCCCCGGACACACACCCACACACCCACTTTTTCTGGAAAAAGAGGATTTATTTCTCAGGGATTTACCAGAGGAAAATATTTTAATAGGGTTATCTTAGAGGACTGGCAGAAACAGAGTGGGAGATCAATAGATGAAAGATAAGTCGGGTTATCTTTACTCTGTTTTTCACAACCACCATTTGTACGCTATGGAGAAAAAAAACAGGGGTTGCGGAATAAAGATTAGAGAGTTTCAGCCTTTTGGCATCTGCAGCAGCTCACATGTGTTTCATTTGAGTGAGTGTGAAAGAGTGATAATACTGCAAAAGGAAATGGCAGGGATTCAATTAAAGCTGCAATGCAGTGTATTTAATTCCATACACATTATTCATGAACTTTAAACAATTCATTTATGTGGGATCATAAGAGTTGGTGTCTTTCTGATTCTGTAACTCAGTATTTGAAACGTAAGTGGTGTTACGTTTACCCAGGTTGGAGCTCAAACCAGTGTTTGTTGTAGGAGAGAACAGATGGGTTCTTGTCAGTTTTTAATCTTGTCCATGAGAGCCGAAAGAAGTTGCCTCTAAAAAACATTTGGTTGTTTTATGTGCTGCAGAACAATTTCTTTTTGTACGAATTAAACAAATTTATGACGTGTTGATTAGCGAACTTTAGAGGTGCCTTTAGGTGGATTTTGTTACGACACAGATAGGCTAGCTGTCTTCACCTGTTTCCAGTCAGTTTATGCTAAGCTAACCAGCTACTGCTACATATCCAATGTACATATTGTACAGACTTGAGAGTGGTATTCTCATCTAACTGTTAGCAAGAAAGCATAATTCTCTAAATGTCCAACTATTCCTTTTAATCAACCTACTGAAACATATATTATATTCAGCTTCTGGGACTATCATCTACACCAGGTGACACCTGAAGAGCAGCTTTAGTTTTAGTCCTGAAACAAATCCTGAAGCAAACAGGTTCCTCCACAGTTTCATTTGCTCAACAAACCCACTGTTTTATTCATCTTGGCAATAATAGTTTTGCTTTGTTTTCTATATTTTCCCTGTAAAGTTGAACCAATCACAAGGAAACTCTCCAGACCACATAGCTGAGTCTTTAGATCATGGCTCCGTTACACTCAGTTTTAAAATACAAAGTCTTTCTTTTCCATCAACATTTGCTTCGCAACCAAACAGGAAACAAGGCCAGAGTTTTACAAAGTTGGAGCCACTTAATGTCACGTCTGCATTTTTGAAACAAGACGCCCAAATGAAGAAGTAAAAACAATTAAACTCCACATGTTAGCAAAGTTACTCGTGTGTCAAATACAAATGTTTATTTGCATAACAAACAGCATTTCCATTGTGATGAGATGTCTATCAGCCAGTTTATGAATAACAGACGTTAATACACCCTGCCCACGCTTAGAGAATGTAATCAAACAATAATCCACATGATTTTTTATCTCTGATGCTTTTAGTCTTTAAACTGTGACTTATGCTGATCCCCCTCACCCTCACTTTGAGGTTTTGGCATTACTTTGTGTAACGTCCTCTTTGCAGTTGACTTAACCTTTGATTTGAATGCTGTGGACCGCGTGGACAAGAAGCGTATGCAAAGCGTTTTAAAAAGGAAGCGATCAGGTGCTGAGATGAGCGCCAAGCTGACCTCAAAACTGAATCAAAAGAGTGAGAGTGAGTGGGGGAGGAGAAGAGGAGGAAGCCAAACAGAGAGAGGGAAATGTGGAGGAGGGACACTTGAGTATTTGCTGCAGTCATATTGTGGGAACGAAATAGGTCACAGAAGCAAAAGAGCATTCAAATATCCAACTATTGTTGGAGGTTTCTTTATCTTAGCGTCAATATATGAAATCTAATGATGGGTTGAATGTTTCTGTGTCAACTCTCTGCTTCATTTGACGTAATAATGAGGATCATGACTTTATCTCATGCTATTGTTTGATCCAGCACGTTGCACACCGTGGTGCTGTTATCCTGTTATCCTGATCTCCTTCTCTCTCCAATGGTAATCGCCCAGATGTAACTGGGGTTGATTGTGTGTGTTTGTGCATGTGATAATTGAGTGTATGAGATGTAAAACCTTTTGCAAAGTTCAGTAGTGAAAGTCTTAGGCGGAATAACCTTTACAGCGTGTTATGTAAGCAGAACAGGTCAAGGAGGATTGTACACTGCTGCCTTTGTGCCCAGCAGACAGAATCCAAATAAAGACTCTACTCATACGTGTCCTTGGGTGCAGAAAATCAACCCAAATTTGCCCTTCGATCAGTCGGTGGTTAAGATGCAGAGCTGGATGTAAAACCAAAGAGAAGGACGGGAGGAAATCCTGCTGCACCCTGCTTCCTGTGACCCTCTGTCGCACACGCCATCACCCAAATATTAACCCTTTCACCTTCCACAACAGGAAGGATGTGTGAATCCCTCTCCCGTCTCCTGGTTTATGAAAGTCTACATCCATTTGTTTTGTGGGATAAACGCAAAGAGGAAGATGGCCGGGGAACTCCCAAATTCACCACTGAATCAGCACAAAAGGGAGCTAAACATGACTTTATCAAAGCACCTCTGTGGTGAAATTCACTGCGTCAGTTCGTCAATGCTCAGTTCTGAACCACAATTTCCTCCCTAACTTTAAACACAGGCTACACCTCACTGATCCATTTCACAGTGTATTCAGGGGGAAGATGATTAGGTCATGATGGGAGTGATTTTTGGGAGTTGGAAGGTTGAGAAACGTGGGTTGCTTGTGTTTCTCTGTGTGTTTATAATTATGGGTTGGGTTGTTTTGAAGGGAGGAGGTGATCGCCCTCCGGGCACCGCCGTGGTGACTGGAGCATTATGAAGTGGTACGACTGCTCAATCAGGTCACGTGAAGTCGGTCAGGAGAGCCACAGACAGTTTCCCATGATGGTCGGCCTAATCTGCCAGACGTGCATCTCCCCGAGGGAATGTATGCAACCGCAGTGGCACGAGACACAGACGGCCCGGAAAACCCTACACATGTTCACTTCAAGCCGCAGACTGTTACAGACTTGCTGTGATGACTTTGTGGCCTTCGTTTTGTGGTCCGGACGTGATCGAGTGTGTCGAATGCACTCTAAAATGACTGAGCCAAACTGCAATTTTGTTGATTTTTAAAGCCTTAAATTCATCACCAATGATATCTGGGCCACACTGAGAGGCTTCTCTCATGACTCATAAACACATTAGCATGACATTTATGTGGAGTAGAGCGCACTGAGTGTGTCTGTGTGCCAGAGAGACAGACTCAACAATCTAATTGCTTTTAATGGAACTTACTACTTCGCTGAGGATGCTCTGCTTGACCGGATCCAGCACTGACATAAACGGACAGTAACACCCTATTTGTCTAGCCATATTCCCAAAGCAGGCGCCGAAATTATGCATATGACCTATATTTTCCACTTGTAGCACAGAAAACATTGAAATGGGCTTGCTCTGTGTGTTAACTGCTTTGCATCAAACCACCTAGTATGTAAAACCTCAAAACTAGAGGAACTAAAGTGAGAAAGACACTTTCTGTGCTACAAACTGGAGTGGCTTCACTCAGATTTCCTTTTACTACGCTTCCTGTTCCCCTGCTTTCCTTTGTGTGGTGCACATCTCAAGGAATTTGGTTTCCTTTAAAACACATGGCTAAAAGTTCACAACCTATACTTTTAATGGCAAAGAAAACAAACACTGTCTGGATGCATGGACCCAAATGTCTGAGCTATTCACAGCAACCCTTCACCTGAAGTGTGAGCGGAGCGTTTATCTGCAGGTGTCAATTCAGGATCACTGTAGGCCTCCAATTTCTCCTGCTCTTGTGATTCGGCACCAGACCGGATTGTGCCGGATTGAGGGGGCACAGTGGATTGTGTAATCTTGCTAATGTGAATTTGTAGAAAATGACTCATTTGAGCCTTTTAGTTTCTGCTTGTCCCCTTTTGCTATTACTCTTTTGGAAGATGGTGAAGCAATCTTGAATCTCATGAAAGGGATGATTTTATGGAGTTTTAGAAACGTTTCAGAGAGTGAATTGAGTTGAATATGAAAAGGGAGGTAAATCCTTTGCTTCGTCTTCTACTTTAACAAACATACATAGTAAAGTTATATCCTTAACCTCATGGGCTGTACGAGATGGAGGGAACTGTTTGTGTTATGTCTGGAGAATGTCACTTTGTTTAGGACAGAGTTCTGAGAGCGAAACATTTGTCCAAAAGAGACACCTACGAATAAACAAATGAATGAATACGTTGGAACATCTGTTCATGCTTGACCATTGGAGTAATGCACAGGAAGTGAGACCCCCTCCTTCTCTGCGGAGGCAGGAATGCAATAATTGAAACCACGTGTGTTGTAGAAACAAGCTCTCTCTCTCTATTTCTGTGTGTGTGTGTGTGTGTGTGTTCACCTCATCCCACTGTTTCTTAACCTGATCGCTCTCCCTGCTTATGTAAGAGTCTCGTCCATAATTCCTCATAGTGATCTGAAATCTGTTTTTTTATATTTTGGATTGGTCGCTTTTTGTATTACTACAGAGTACATCGATGTTATTTCATTGCATTTCAGCAGCCGTGTAGCTCTTTAAAAGATTAATTTGCTATATTATTTTCGGACTTATGTTAGAGGTATAGGCAGCTGTTGCACACAGACCACAAACCTTTCTGTTTTATGAATGTGTTGCCTTTGTAATACTCTCCTTGCTCTAGAAAGGACTGCTGACGACAGTGCTTTTGCACCAATGAGACGTTCAGAGAAAAAACTGTGTATTACGGCAAATAAATAGTCCTCTGTGTGTGGAATTGTGTTCATCAACAATGTATCAATGTAGTTGATAGAGATATTTGCCCTCATTCATATGAATTGGGTGGACAAAAAAACTACATCCTCCAAAATGACCATACACTTGAATTTAACACCTCTTAAATACTATTTAACATAATAACCGTCACATCGGATTTATTGTTCAACTGTTGAGTTAAACTGCATTTGCTTTATTTGTGCACCTAATAATCTAGCAACTGGCTGTAAAACATTTGTGCCAAAGGTGTGCCATGTGGTTAGAAAGAAAAATAATACATTAGAATATTATATACTGGTGAAGTGACTAAGTACATTCAGTAACTATATTTAGGTACAACTTTGAGGTACTTTCGCTTTACTTGAATATACCATATTTGCTCTACTTTACCTGAGTATTATTACTCTTCAGATTATGATTTTGCAAGCCAAACCTATAAGAAGCTTGTAAAATATGCCAGTATCGAAAATTGGCTGCACATTGACAACACAAATATTTTTTTTGATGCAGAACGCTGACTTGTAGAGTTTTTTTAGACTATGGTATACTTGAGTAAAATATCTAAATACTTCCTCCACCACGGAAAGAAGGCTATAATAATCAACCCCAAATACATCAAATCGTCTAATCTATTCCAATACATGTAAAGTTAAATTGCTCTGAATTCTTGAAGGATACAACCAAATATGACAGCATAACCAAACCATCTCATATAATCAATAAAAAACATTATAGGCATTTTTGTTGGGTATGATCTCATTATTGCCTGGAGTCACGTGGGCGCTGATCGGTGATGAATGGTGACGCGCTGCACGGGCTGTGTAGCGGAGCTGAGATGGGATTAAACAACTAGTGTCAATTTACCAAGAATATCACAAAGACGTTCTGTTTATAGTTCCAAAATAAAAGAGGCTGCTTCATAAACCCCCGGTGCGACTCTTACTTTGAAGACACAATTACTACCACTTCCGGTTTTGTTCCAGCGGTGTTGTCGGCCAACTTGACGCCACTCTCCGATACTAGTGGAGTGAAGGCGTATGTGGAGGGCTGACGGTAACGCGCTCGACCACTGTGGCGAAAAGACACCTCCGCCGCCGCCGCCGCCGCTTCACACGCACGCCGCTCACTGACCGACGGGCACCGGAGGAGGGACTGCCTCGCGACTGTGAGGCAGTAAATGGCCACAACATTTGCAAAAAAGAAAAGACGCTGCCAGTGAGACAACCTGTGTAGCAAAAAAAAAAAAAAAGAAGCGTCCTGGAAATTAGGGCGCGTGTTTGCAGTGTAGGTTATTAGAGCCTCTTCTCGCGCAAGGGAAGTTTCTGTCACCGATTTTTTGGGGGGAATCTTTGATTTATAGGCTGCAAAACATGGAGGAGGACAACCAAGGTAGGATTTCACTCAGTGCAATTCAGACCGATAAAGTGTAGCTGTTTCAGTCCTAACAGTGAGGAGACGTGTGGCTCTGCAGCCTGCTTATACTAACAATATTAATAACGTTATGGATTCTGACGTTGATCTATATTTTCAGTGATTAGTTGGTTGTTGTTTTTTTGCCATGGCACATGCAGCCACATTTATCTCGTCTTGTTCCCACATCAGCATTTTCCTGCAGAGATTACTGACATGTTGTGTTGTGGTGGTTTTAAGAGCACGCCTGATGTGCAAGATGTGTGAAGGAGGAAAGATTGACCTCATTTCAGGGGGGATGATAAAGACCCAATATCATTCTTGAATGGACCGGCATAAACACTGTCAGTGCACCAGTGTGGCATTGCTGCTTGTGGCCAGCAGACTTGTGTTTGTCTAAGGCTTTGTCAGCTGCGGGCTGGTGTCACTCTGGCCCAACAGGTCCTCTCACCGTCAACCAAACACAGCCACGAGACACAGATTCATTTATTGACTCATGACTGAAGAGTTGGCACAGGTGTGTCCCCTGCAACAGGAGTCTGCAGACCGCATCCGCTCAGCACAGGGGCGCGTTTAGAAACTTTGGAGGTGGAAATGTGTTCCGCCCTGGTCATTGACAGTTGCATTATTCATTCAGCGAATAAATAAATTAGTCTAATATGAACTTATATCAGTTAATAGCTGCTATTCGTAACTCCAAATACAGCCACGGAGAGATTACGATGCAACAGGCCAATGGACACAGACATGGAAAAGGTCTCAAATCAAACCTCCCAGATTGAACCTTTGCGGTCGTTTAGAGTCTCTTTGTGGTGTTTTTTTGTTTCGTCGAGAATGTTTTGCATCTCTTTGTGTCATTGTGTGTCTAATTGTGGTCATCTGATTGACTTTATAACAAGAAATGAGTGAATGTCACCTCATTCAGAGGTTCTGGTGCAGGGGCCACTGGTCAGTAATCCATCCAGGATACTAACAAGCCCCCTGACTCTAGGGGGCTGGGGGTGGAGTTGGGGGGTGCTGCTGAGCCTGTAATCATAAACTGAATCCCTCATCTTGTCTCACCTCTGTAAGTCAGTGGTATTCAGTCGCACATGCTCCCTGCTAGAGCGCTGCCATGCATGGCATGCGGGCATAAAGCTGTCATTGTGCTGTTTGCGGCCACCCTGGCCTCCAGCGGTGGCACACGTCAGCACAGCCCCACAGACAGACATATGGTGCTGTGTGATGCCGACCAGGGGTAGCTGACAGCAGCCGGGAGCATAAACACACACACACACACACACTCGCATATATTCATGGAGGCACGCTGACACACTGACACTCAGACGAATTAAATTTCTCCTTTTCCCTTATGGCACTGTTTGCAGTGAAGATAGATGGATGGATCATGACGTGTGTGTGTGTGTGTGTGTGTGTGTGTGTGTGTGTGTGTGATGTATTCCCTCTCATCTGGAATAAATAGTGTCCTGGTTG